GATCTCCTTCTGGCATGACTTGCAGGATTCCTCTAACCAGGTATCTTTTGAGCTTTTCGTTGCATTCCCATTTCTATCTCTATTATACTTAAATTGGGAGAGGAGTCCTAGTTCTTTTTTTAACCGAACCAACTTTGCAAATATCAAATACACGCCACTAGTTTGGGATGAGAAACCTGCAGCCTTCAGGCTGATTTCACAAAATCCTTGACCTACTTTAAAACCCATCTGCAAAAGATCAGTTCAGACCCTTGATAAAAGTGCTTTCTCCTCCCCTTGCAGCCTGCTGCTTGAAAAAACAGAAGAGGACTTCAGACAGAAGGAAAAAAAAAAAAAACCAGAATTTCAGGAAAAAAAATGAGTGGGGCCATCCATTTTTGATACTAGCTCCACCTACTGTTTCATATCCATCATCTGGTCCCCAAAAATTTAACTGCGAGATAAAATAGCTGCCATCCCAGTCTGGGAGGATAGTAACCAGCATCATAATCAATGCATGAGATTAAAATACAGGTAGTCCTCAACTTACAACCACAGCCCAGAATTTACACTGCTAAGTGAGAAATTTGTTAAGTGAGTTTTGCCCCATTTTACGACTTTTCTTGCCACATTTGTTAAGTGAATCACTGCAGTTGCTAAATTAGTAACATGGTTGTTAAGTGAACTGGGTTTCCCCACTGACTTTGCTTGTCCAAAGGTCATGAAAGATGATGACATGACCCTGGGCCACTGCAGCTGTCATAAATATTAATCAGTTGCCAAGTATCAGAATGTAAATCACATGACCATGGGATGCTACAATGGTCATAAGTGTTGAAAAATGGTCATAAGTCACTTTTTTCAGTGCCATTGTCACTTTGAATGGTCACTAAATGAACTGTTGTAAATTGAGGACTACCTATATGATGTCCTAATCCCAGATGTATCGCACTAGTATTCCAATAAATCCATGCCTCTGAATAAAACCAACCTCCAAAAGCTGATTTAAGAACTTCCCCAGCCTTCCTCAACTTGTCCCTCTGGGGTTGTGTCGGATTACAGTTCCCATTACACACAGCCAGCACAATGACCTTGTTGGCTGGAGTGTTGTAACAATATTGTTCCAGGAGTTGCCCCATCCAGAGGGCCTGATCGGGAAGGCCTGCTTCACCCAGCCCCATCTGTCATATTTGCTTCGGAAATATTTCTTTGCTGGTTGGGTTTTTTTTTTCTCCTGCAGCTGAAAACAGATTTAAATCCCGCGTTTTGCTCTGCAGCTGAAAAGGGCATCCCCAGCGCTCCTCTCCTCCTGTTTTCCACCATCAACCCTGGGCCTCCCGGGCTGAAAGAGGGTGCCTGCCTCCCAGTCCCCTCCGGCAGTCCCATGGCGGAGGACAGACTCCAGCCTGGCTCTGCCTGCTCCCATCTTCCGCCCACCGCCACGCAAAGTCCTGCGGCGCTTGGAAGGAGCTTTTTGCTGCTCTTGCCCTGTTTCTAAGTCACTTCACTCCAGCTTGGCCTCTCCAAGATGTCTCCAGACTACAATTCCCAGCCTGCACAATCTGAAAAAGGCAGGCGCGCGCTCCCTCTCTCGCCTTTCCCCGGGAAAGTTTTCCAAAGCAGCGCAGCGACTATTGACGGGGGGCGGGGTGTGTGTTTGTGTGTGCGTTGAGAAAGAGAGAGATTCCGGAGACCGACCCCCCCGCCTCCCCCTCCCCTACTTCTCCCCTCACCTGGCGGGAGTGGGCCTTGGGCTCCGGCGGCTTGAAGAAGGAGTCCGGCAGTTTGCGGAGCCGCATAGGGAGCGTGTGGGGCACGTTGGCGCCCTTGGGGTTCATGACGGCGTTGAAGAGGGCCTCCAAGTCCGTCTCCGAGTCGCCCCGGACGTGGACGACCTGGTGGCCGGCCGGGGGCGGCCCGGACACGGCGCCTCCGCCGGGCTGCGGCTGCTGAGGCGCCGGCGGCGAGGGCTGCCCCGAAGGCTGGGGCTGCCCCGCCGACGGCTGGGGCGCCGACGGAGCCTGCTGGGGCTGCCCGGCGACGTCCATGGCCGTCTCCCCTCCGCGCTCGCTCGCTCGCTGGAGCCGCTCCGCTTAAGCAACAGCGCCGAACTGGCCGCCCCGCATGCCCAGGCGCCGGGGTCGTTCGCTCCCTCGCCTCGCGCCCGTCTTCCGCGGGAGGGGGGCACCGGCGACTCCGGGGGTCTGACACGCGAGGGGGGACTCGGGGCCTCCCGCGCTTTCGCTCCGCCGGACCCGAAGCCAGGGGCATAAATCGGTCGCCGCGGCTCGGTCGCGCACGAACCCTCCCAAACAAAAGTTCGGAAAGACGCCCGCCCGAGCCTGCTCCGCCCAGCGCGCGCCCGCCCGCCCCGAATCCCAACAGCAGCTTTAATTCCACTCAGCCGGGTTTAGGAGCCGCCGCGGCCGCCGCCTTTTCTTTTTCCGCGCCCGGCCGCGCTGAAATTGAACGGCGGCGAACTTTGCCACGGAGTGTTCCCGAGGTTCCTTTCCACGCCCGTCCAGCCTATAGTGTTTTTTCCCACTTCCTTCTCTTCCTAACTGGTACAACTGCTTCTTCGACGCCTCCGGATTAACTTGTTTTCTAATTTCCTGGAGCCGCCCGTGCAGGATTCACCGTCGCCGATGTGGACAGGAAACATGGGGTTTATAGTTCTGGCTCTCTTCCTCTCCCCCCCCCTTTTCCAAAAAAGTTTTCCAACCCACCCAGAGAGGGGAGGAGGGGGAGGAGGGATAGTTGGGACTATTTTCTCTTCCTCCCCCACACTGGAAGAAAAAAGGGAAATAGCAACTAGACCCCGACCCATCAGGGTTAGATGGGAAAAGAGAAAGGAAACACTTTTCCTTTGTCCCTCCCCCTCCCCACTATGCCGCCCCCCCCCCACTTGCTGTTGTCCAGATTTCTGCGCTTTTAAGTCTCACAATCCCAAGGGCAGTGCTGGGACTTGTAGTCCAATAAGCTGGATGCAAGTCCTGACCAGCACAAAACTCTTGATTGTAACCTGGAATTAGCTTTGCCTGGCACCCTTGCAAATCACCACGCAGGGCTCGTTTTGCAGAAGAGAAATCCTTGTGGGAAAAACTCGGATTCAAAACACGCAGGTGTAAATAAAAGTACAAGTAACTAAAGTAAAGAAAAAAGAAAATCGGGGAATGTGGTAGAGATTGCACTGTGGTTGTATTAGTATTATTATTTAGATGGGATTATTTCAGCTTCGACGTTTTTATGATAGTTTTTATATGCCTTTTTCTTCTTTCCTACATTATTGTTCTTTTGTGTTTTAATATGTTTTAATCATTAACCTCGCAGAGTCATATATGAGCACAGCAACTGTATAAATGTGGTAAATAGATCCTCAAATTGATCCTGATTAAATAAATCCTCAAGTTGATCCTGATTCCTGGTGATTAAAATGGCATAACCTTACAATTTTTGGCAACAGTACAGAAACGATAAAAACAGTAGTTCAAAAAAGAGACACATTATACCAGACAACACATAATTAGCATACACATCACAACAAACCACTTAAGAATATTTATGGCTGTTTTTAAGAAATAAATAAAATAGGTGCATAAATACAAGAAAGAATTAAGAGACAAAAACTTCTTGTCCACTCCTCTAATCCTGTCAACCACTCCAGAATGTTACCTTCCAGTGTCTTTATCTCCCTAAAACCTGTTTTTCAATTTAATCGTTGAAATTATGATTGTATGCGATTGATGGTTCTACTTGCTATTGAAAGCTAAGAAACACAATAGTGCTTATTGGTAGGAATACCTTTCCCCTTCTCTGGACTCTCTTTCCTGCTCTTTTTCTAAAATTTTCGTTTTAATTAAAATTAAACTTTGTAAGGCTGAATTTGAAATCAAAATGTATACAAATGATGAACATGTCGTTCCTAAAATGTATAAACATATATTGATCTCCGAGACAAAAGAACAATTATTTATTTTTTAATATTTTAATTGTTAACAATGACTGGGATTGTTTGATATATATTTGGTATTTTATTTAAATGTTGTATACAACCAGGAGTCACTTTTTGTGAGATGGGTGGACATATAAATTTGATAAATAAATAAAAGGTGAAAGAATGTAGGGGGTTGTCCTTGATTTGCAACTGCTTACTTAGCAAAGTTGCAACCAACCTGAAAAACAGGACAGTCAACCCCCTCCTCCATAGTTACATGCCCAACACAGCCGCCCTTATAGTTTTTTGCAGGGTTCACCAATCACGTGATCATGCTTTATCACAGTTTTGTCAAAACTCTGCATTTCCGTTTTTCCTTTGCTTAACAACCACATCATTCACTTAACAACCGTGAATTCACTTATCAACTACTGTGATTTGCTTAACAACTACTGCAAAAAACCCAAAATCAGTCAGTCGTGCAATTCCAGCAGGAGAGATGACACATGCGCCTCTAGGCCTGCTGCATTTGAACCAATTGAAGTTTCTGGATTCTTTGAAAAGGCAGACCCATGTAATGTGTTACAATAATATTGTTAAGCAGTATTTCCTTTTCTCATTAGTAATCTAAATTTTGAGTAAATTTGTTCATTGACGTCTTCTATAAGAATTATAAATATGAACTGAACTGGATCATCTCAAAATAAAAGATCTATCTATTCCCCATATCTATCCCACACACTGTATTTCAGAAATTTTCTTATGTCTTCCAGTTTATTAGGAAAAATACAAATGCTGGGAGAGTCTTTTTTTTATCAACAGCCTATATTTCTGTCCTAGAAAATTCAGACAGGTTCTTCTTTAACTTTTAAGAAAGCTGTTAATATTGCTGTTCCACTTCTGCCTTCTATAAGACTATTTTTCTTATTTTAAATATTGATGTTTCTTATCTTCTAAACATTGTCTATTGTTTTAAGATTTTAAATTATACCTTACCTAGCCATCCTTCCGGGGTCAAAAGACAATCCAAAAATAATATTGTAAAATTATATAATGGGGATATACATTCACACCATTGCAAAATTTCTGCTTAATAATTTATTAGTGGTACAATAAAAGAATTATTAAAATAAAGATCTCTAAGGACAGGATGTAAGTTAATTTAGCAATCGCCCATTTCAAGGTATATGCAGGTATTGGTAACATTAATTTAACAACATTCCGACAAAATCAATTCCATTCAGTGTGCAAGTAATTTCTAATGCCCTAACAATATTGGAATTCCAACAAACAATATTTAAAACAAATTCCTCTATTTACGAGAACTAATTGAATAACTATGAGCAATCACTCACAGAATGAAGATACTCCAAAAACATGGTACAAAACATAGATATGACGATTTGAAGGATTCACAATCAAATAGGCAAAATTTTGTTCATGGTTATTGGATGAAGGATAACAAAGGCCATCAGCATCCTAGAGGACAAAATATTAATCATTAATATAATGCAGTAAATATATTAAGATGGTAAAATAATAATTTTCCAATTCTAATTTTGAAATAATCACTTAAATTTCATGATGAACTAGGACTAAAAAATATGTGCCCAGTTGTATTTTGGAAAGTGGAAATTCCTATCTTCAATGTGAAAATTATAATTTAGGTAAAGAAAACCTAACGGTGTGACCTTCCTTTAACACTTTCTGAGTGGTTTGCCAGCCTGTTTAAAATACTTGGCATGCATTTACATGGAAATCCCTCTAAAAATATAAATCAATCATGAAGTAACATTCACTTTAATTACATTTATTCTTTTCTTTAAGTTCAGGGAAACTGCAAACACATTTCTATCACATTAATCTAAGACAAGTGCCAGTTTGGTGGAGTGGTTAAGGCATCAAGTTAGAAACCAGGAGATGATGCATTCTGGTCCCACCTTAGGTAAAAATAGCAGCTGAGTGACTTAGGCTAGTCAGTTTCTCTCAGCCTTCAGAAAGAGGCAATAGCAAATCACTTCTGAAATCTTGCTAAGAAAAATTCGGGGCCTTGTCCATGGAGTTGCCAGGAGTCATACAGGAGCGACATAAACCAGACATTATAATGGTAGAGAAGGACCAGAAGACAACAATGGTGATAGATGTAGCAGTGCCAAGTGAAGCCACATCAGGAAGGAGGAGAATGAGAAGCTGGAAAAGTATCGGGGCTTGAAAGTGAAAGTAGAGATGATGTGGAAATAAAGGCAAAAAAGTCCCAATAGTGTTAGGAGCACTTGGGGCTGTGATTCCTAAGCTGGGAGAATGACTCCAACAGATCCGTGGAACAATATCAGAATTCTACTATGTTCAATTCTATGAAACAGACACAGCATTTTCCACGGGTTAAAACTTGGTCTAGTTAAAACTGTATTATGATCAATTAAAGATCCCCAAACCTGTTTAAAAACTCAAGTCAAAATTATCTGATCAACCACAAAACTAAAAATATAAGAAAAACATAAATGTAAAAGGTTTGGCTCATCTTTATAAGAATAGATTAGCTAAAAAAAGCAATGCCCTGCTGTTACAATTTTAATTACCAAAATTTAAAATATTCTAAACCATTTCTTTCTTGCTCCAAAACAAATCAGGATTGTTTACTACCACCTAGCTGATCTTTAGCCACCACTTGTGTATGTCTGACCTCTCTATCACTTAGATGGGAAATCCTCATGCGGTAAAAGATTTCTTAAAGAAGAGCGACTTCAGCTTTTAAATCACCTAGTTTATTAAACAGGAAAGAGAAGAAGACAACCAGCAACAAGGGTGGATGGACTCAGTTATAGTGGTGAAGATCAGAAGGATCAGGTTAGGGCAGTGGTGGTGAACCTATGGCACGGGTGCCAGAGGCGGCACTCAGAGGCCTCTCTGTGGGCACACGTGCCATTGCCCCAGCCTTGCCTCTGCCTGCGACCCCGTCACCAGCAACCCCCCTGGAGGAGAGTTGACCCCGAGTGCGGAGCAGTGCAGCCAAGGATATGGCAGCCAGGCAGCATAGACAGGACTCTGCCCTCATGCCCCAACGTGCCCCATGGCGCTGCTGGACTGCCTGGGTGATCTGCGGTGGGCCCTGGAAGCGGTGAGTGGCCCTGCAGGCAGGCAGGGTGGGGCGGAGCGGGGGTGGAGCAGGGGCAGGGCCAGTTTTTGGGCACTCGGTCTCTTAAAGGTTCACCATCACTGGGTTAGGGCATACTATCATGGGGAAAATATTGTGGTCACCAACATTCAAAATTGACTTGCTGGCACATAATAAATAATATTCTAGGAAACCATAATATAACAACCTAGATAAAGCATACAGTGCATGGCTACTAGAATTCTTTGCAATCACTTCATAATAGCAATTACTATTGTTAAGGAAAAAAGGAGTGTGAGAATATAAAATCAGCAACGTTTTGAGCTGTTGCCCAATTGCTTTTCCAATAGGGAAGTGTTTGAGAAATGATTTTTTTTCTATATTACTGGCCATATCCAACCCATTAATTATTTGTTGCTTGCTTTCTTCAAATATAGTTTCAAAAACCTAGTTGTCTCAGAATTATTAAGAATAATGTAGGAAAGTCTACATTATTATTATTAATTATAACCAGACAACCTGTGACCTGTTGGGCATCTCTTCTGATCTATTTCATTACCAGATTCCTCAATACCTTCAACAATGATAGAATGTTTAGTGTATTTGAAAAGTTCTTAAAATTCAGGGAGAAGTTCAGAGATGTATCTGCCTTGAAAGCAGTCCATGTTGAACTGTATAACACAGAAGTCCCTACCCCTGGATCATGAACCGGTACCAGTCTGGCCGCACAGCTGGAGGTGGCATGTGAGCAAGCAAACATAAATTGCACATGTGTGGGAGGGATCTAGGTTAGGTGCTCCTTCCCCACCCCACCCCGTCCGTGGAAAAATGGTCTTCCACGAAATTGGTCCCTGGTGCCAAAAAGGTTGGGGGCCACTAGTTTAGCAAAACTGTATAGTAGTACTTACATCACTATACAATCAAACATCATTGTAGAAACTGTTTTATGACCTTTTGTATTATAAACTCTTTTATGATAATTTTTATGTCATAAAGTATTTTATAAAATTTGCCAAATTTCAATTCAATGGGAGTCATGGGTCCAAGATTTAGGACACATTCTGTAAATTATTCCATTTGAGGCACCTTGATTCAAAAACTGTTGTCCCTATGATACACCATTTTGCCTAGTTAAAGGTTATGGGCATGAAAGTTTTAGTAGTATATAGATGAATTGGAAAATGGGTGTTATGGTTTTGTTGCTATTACTAAATTATTAAGACACTACATAACCTATTTAGCTACTTCTTATGTGCATTTATTTTAATGCCAGAAAGTGAGAGTTCAACTTTTATATGGAATATACTTTGCAAATTCTTTAGCTTTGTCAATTGTGCCATAGTTGGATATATTTGCCAACACCACCATAGTATTAAACATAGTTTAGTGCTTTCAAAGTGAAAACTGTGTATCACTTTTATATGTGAGCGAGATGGGCGGTTTTAAAATGTGATAAACATTTACTATAAGCCCCACTAAATTCAATTCAAGAGACAATTTGGGGTAGTGGTTAAGGCAGCAGGCAGTGGGACTCTGAGTTCTAATCCCACCTTAGCCATGAAGATAGCTGGAGGATCTTGGATCAGTCTCTTTCTTTCAGTTCTAGGAATAAAGAGGCAAGGACAAACTGTTTCTGAAAAACCTTGTCCTGAAAATTGCAGGGACTTGTCCAGACAATTGCCAGGTGTCACAAAGTGACTCAAAGGCACAAAACAAAAACAAACTTCAGTTAAGACTTATTTTCTAATTCTGAAATTGGCAACACTGCATTCATGTACATCACAATGCAGCCAGACAACTACCTGGCTCCTTACCACACATACATACATACATACATACATACATACATACATACACACACACACACACACACACACACACACACACCACATATACAAACACAGAGAGAGTTATAGACCTATGCATGCAGGTAACAGGTCTCCAGAGGCTTGTTTTTGCCTGGTGGAGGGAAGAAGAGGAGAGGGCAGAGAATGTGGTTCCCCCCCACTCCCAGGTCTGGGATTATGTTTGTGTTGGATGGGATAATTTTCTCTGTGTGGTCTCTGTGCAGGGATAGAGTTGCAAATTAAATAGGAAAATAATTTGTTCTAAAAGATTTAAAACTGCATATCAGAATAAGTGTTTCTTACAAAGGCATCAAAATCCCATTAAGAAAACATCAACTTGCTCTTTTGGAAAAGCAAACTCTGTAATCTGGATGATCTCTATCCTTTTACTCTAAAATATGCTACAGTCAATTCACAAACTTAACTATTTACTGATATTTTAAAGGCTGCATTGTGAACTTCATAAATGAAAAATAAAATATTCCAAGCAGACTACTTCAGGCATACAGATACAGTGCATGTTGTAAATATCCAGCCAGCCAGCCTTCCATCTATCCATTTGCAGTTCTATGCTAAGTTACAAGTGTTTCAGTCAACCACTTTCATTTACAAAACTCTCATGGCCGCATGAAATGAGTTAACATCTGGTCCTTAAGTCTGTAGAAAAGTATGCTGGCATCAATTATATTGTCCTGACTACTGAATCTTAGTTTGCCTACTGTACATAATGCTACTGTCCTTAATGCCTGGGAAAGGTGGTGGAAAGTAACTAGGAAATTCCTGATTCAGTTTCCCCATTCATCAAGATCATGTACAGGTAGGAAAAGTAATCACCAAGTCATTATTTATAATCATGGCGTGAATTGGGGAGGAAGGTCTGTTTTGAAAGATGGCCAGACCACTTGGTTTAGCCTTCTGTCAAAAATGGTATCAAGACAGTTGATCTGTGGAATAGGTGGTTGCTTGATAAAACGGAGATGCTCTCCTGCTTCACTGGGCAATTTTCTTCTGCTTAGTCCGCTGCGTGAATATTGGATTAGAACTGGTCTATTATGTTCCTTTGTTTTAGAATAGATGGGCAAGCAGCTTGAATTTTAAGAGAATCATTATCATCATTAGAGACGTCAAAGAGTCATGTGTGAATATGTTTTGAATTCATAAACCTTATTTTTTCTATGCTTCGGTTTCATATCCTGCCTACCATGTGAGTTTTTCTAAACAAAGCATTATTTCTTATTTATTTGTAAATACATTCATCTCTACAGTTCAAAAATACAAAAATCAAAATGAGATGATGGGAATGCAATCACGTCAGGATATGTCCCCCAAAAGGTTTTATTTTTGTACATTCTCCATCAGTTGAAGTATCTCTCACCACTCAAATGGAGTTTTTAAGTTGGCTGATAGGCACAGGGTAGCTGTGAGGTGAAGTGGGAAGGAACTTTCTTACAACACCGTATAATCACACCCAATCTCAAGTACATTGTTAATGAAGCACCCTATATTATATTCATGATAAACACCGAGAAGAGAGAAAATAGTACCTACTTTAAATCTGTAACAGCTTGAGACAATATTAAGCTGTCTACACTGGAGACTGGGAATGAGCCAAAAGCAGTATCATAAAAACATGTCATTTAAGAATGATTAGTAAGACATGTTTGTGCTGCAGTTATTGCAACATGAGGATGAACACTGACTCAACACAAATCAGACTATTTGTCTCACACAAAATGTTCTGCATAAAATATACAGATTTTCCAAATGAACCTTAATAGAATTTGTAACCAAGTTACAGTTAACTCTCCAATTTGTAAAATGGGAATCATTTTCATTTTATATGTTGTCATTAAAACAGCCTAAGAACTGCAAGACATTTTGATATTTATATCATAAGCAGAGCATATCTCTCATATCTGTTCCATATTAATCCAGAAATCTACTTTTTTATAATTAGCTAAAGAAAAATATAAAGTTAATTGGTATATCATCATAATCTCCAAAAATTAAACTGACAATACAATTTATTTTTTAAGTGATACCATTCTCATCAGATGGCCTATGTTAGGACATCTATTGTTAAAATTGAACATCCCTCTCTCAACAGAGGGGGAGGGATACAACACCACCTATCTCCTGCCTACAACACAGTCCTTTCAGCAGTCCCAAGAAGGTTCCACACCCATTTGTCCTCTGATTCAGATGACTCTGAAGATACAGATAAACTTCCAAGTGGCCTCAATGACTCTCAGAGAAATAACAACCAGATGGCTGCAAAGAATATAAATCCTTCCATTCCCACCAGTCAGTTTGAACTGAAGGAGCTTCTTGGATGAAAAGTGAAACATTTTCAAGGAAAAAACACAAGAAAATCCAGTTTCCTTTTGGAAAAGCACCTTTGGGACAATCAAGATCTATATGATTAAGAACCTCCATAGCCATGAATAAATGTTTGTGATTGTGTTTGTGTATTGTATATATTATACCCCAATCTATTAAATTTGTTAACAAGATTAATTCAGTTTAAAAATAAATGATGATACTTATTTGGATTACTCTTACATGCAATCTTATTTCAAATTATACCGAAAAATGTTACGTATTTAATACTGCTTTACCAAGATACTTACATATGCACACACTTTAAACACAGTAGATACTATGTTTATATTTGTTTCAGGATCCTTTTGTACACTGAAATTCATAAAAAATACAAAACAGCTTTTAATAAAGTCAGCTAGCCTACTTAAAACTTACATTTTACACTCTGAGAGATTTATCCAAAGTCCAAAAAATAAAACACAATCTTAAGTTAAACTGATCAAATTAAATCAATTTTTTTAAAAAAATCAAATTAAGTTTTCAGGAACAACAACAGTAAACCTCTAAGTTATAAGATGAAATACATTAGATAGAGGAAAAGAAAAAAGTTCTGAAGAAAAATCTGAAATGGTTAAGTAGGATACAATTAGAATTTATTTTACCTTTCACCAACCAAGACAAAACATTTGCTATGTTCTGCTTTCCTGAAGAGTAGCATGTGTTCATGTTATGGTAATGTTCTCCATGATATATCTTGTGCATGATACTCTTCATAAGCTTTATTTAAAAACACCAGTTTGTACAAAATTCAACAATTAAGTGAACTAGGGTGGGAGTGTAGCTAGCATCTTGCTGTTGTTCAGTCACTAAGTTATCTGACACTTCAGGAACCATGGACCATTTAGCATGTCAGCCCCCTCCTCCCTTGTGCTCCACTATCTGCTTGAGTTCTGCCGAAACTCATCCCCAGTATGTGGATGACACCATCTAACTATATCATCCTCTGCCATCATCTTTTCCTTTTGCCTTCCCAACATAGGGGTTTTTTTCAACGAGTCCTCTTCTAATTTGGTGGTCAAAGTATTTGAGCTTCAGCTTCAATATCTGTCCTTCTAAATGAGTCAGGGTTGACTTCCTTTAGGATTGACTGATTTGATCTCCTTGCAGTCCAAGGGATCCCTAGAGTCTTCTCCAACAAGCTAGCCTTAAATCAATTGCAGTAGTTACCTAACCTGGCATTGCCACCAATACATTTGAGTACCTTTTCCATTGCCAATGAGACTAGGGCATTTTATATTGTTGTATTTTGACTTTGAATTTCCAAGGACACTTGCCTGGCACAAAATCCGGACTTTTTCCAGCAGTAGAAAAGCACTTTCTTTGGATAGACACTTTAAATGCTGAATTCTATATTGTATCAACTTACTTTTTTATACTCTTTTGATACAATTATTACATTTTTTATTTTAAATGTTTAGTATTTACCTGAAGATCTGGGTGAACAGTTGAAAAATAAATGGGAAAATTGGTTACATAAAAGGAACACACCTCACTAGATCCTTATATAAAGATTTTGTGGTTTCTAAGTATGGGCCGAGATCATCTTCATATTGACAGAAAGCTCCTCCAAGGCAAAGGTGTTTAAAAATGCAAAAAAGAAACTCTTCACGGTCTAAATGGCTGAATAAGTCATAGTGGTCTGAATCATCCAGAAGTAGTACCTTGGTGAAACAAAAAGCAAAGGCAAAGTGAGTTGGGAAATATTTTAATTACCTCAGATATACAAATATAAATTCACCTGGATTCCCAATGTGTTTTCTGTATAGACATGTATAGTAAACAGAATAATGGAGTTGTACATTGATGAAGTGGTATATATATTGCAATGAATGGTGACAACCGAAGAACCAGAAATGAGTTTTAGGAAAATTGGACCACATTCTGAATAAATGTAATCTGAGGATAAATTATTCATTAGTTGACCTGAAGGATGAGTAGATATGAGAACATAAAACAGATTGGGGCATTTGAAGAACTAGGAATGAGAATGGTGATCTTAGAAAAAGATGTATTTCAACTATACTGCTCAAAAAAATAAAGAGAACACAAACATATAGGATCCCATAATTTTGTGTTCCCTTTATTTTTTTGAGCAGTATATATGGTTTAAGTTAAAACTTTTCATACTACAAATGAATGAAAAAATACAGACACATTTTTTTTGTTTCTGTAATAAAATCTTCAACAATCAATGAAAGATATTAGAGTAATAGAGAGGCCCTGAATGTGAAACAGATTCTTGTATGATCAACAGTATATCTTAGGAGTAAGTGGACTTGGAAGAAAGGAAATAAACTAAAGTGAAAATAGAATTAAAGCAGAATGGAAATAATAACTCTAGCATTAATATGCAGTATAATGACATGTATGGATGGGCTGGAATAAGATGAGAGAATTCAGAAAAAGTGATTGGGCAATTAAAAACTGAAGGAGAATATAATAGAAGAGCGGATGAAATGGAAAGTAGACATGGGAAAAGAATATATTAAAGTTGCTTGATGAAAAGAACATTATAGGGTGTCATGGAAATGTGTGCAAATGCATTAATGGGAAGTATATAAAATGCCTGAGGGAATAATGAAGTAAAAAAAAAAGCCATAAATGGAGGAAAACATACATATGAAAGTGGCTGCTGCAAAAATGAGGATGAAAGAAGTATATAATATATATTAAAAGATATTTACAAAGCATCTGGCCAAAGAGAACAAGAAACAGATTAAAAGAGGAAGAAATGACTCAGTGGTAGATGTTCAGTCTTTCAAAGGGGCATGCAATTGTGGCATTCTGTAAACTGCTTAGAACAGCGGTTCTCAACCTGTGGGTAGGGACCCCATTTGGGGTTGAACGACCATTTCACGGGGGTCACCAAACAACGCAGTCCGCCATTTTTTCCCCTTTTCCTTAGCTGTGCTACTCCCTTTTATTCTATTGGCTTTTGAAAGCCAATAGAATAGACTCTCTTGAATAGAGTTTAATTCTATTGGCTTTCAAAAGCCAATAGGAATTGTTCAGGCTGTCTCTGCCCTGCTGAGCCCGCCAAAAGTCCCATTCTGCAAATGGTGCTGCAAGTTGTCTGCAGCGAAGGCGAGCTGTCTGGAAGTTTCCACCCCTCCCTGCTGAGCAACTACTAAAAATATAAGTAAAAGAGGGCCAGGGGTGGGAAGTGGGAGGCCAGCAGGCACAGGGAGGGTTGCTGGCATGCGTGGGGTCCGGCAGGTGCCTTATCTCCCTTGGGCTGGGTCAGCTGGTGGCCCAGCCAGTGGTCAGCCTGCTCCGTCTCTCCCGCCTGCCAGGTATGTCTCGGCCGGCGCAGGGGTCGGCACCACGCATGCGTGGCGCTCCCGGGCAAGGAAAGTCCTCAACTTATGACCGGTTGGATAGTCCTCAACTTACAACCAGTTTAGTCCTCGACTTACGACCGGTTGGGGGTCGCGGCATTAAAAAGGTTGAGAACCACTGGCTTAGAGTGTTGTAAAGCACTATAAAGAATGGAATGGAATGGAATGGAATGGAATAGAATAGAGCAGAGCAGAGCAGAGCAGAGCAGAGCAGAACATTCTTTATTGGCCAAATGTGATTTGACACACAATGAATGTCTCTGGTGCATACTGTAAGTTCTCAGTACGCATATAATCAATAAAGTGATAAGTCATAAATCATATCACTAGGTGTTGCATCTTATGATTTATGATGAAGTGTTGTATTTCATGATTTATGATGAATGTATTTTCATATTGTATATGGTCATGATTACCACTATTACTTGTATGTACACCTGAGAGCTTATGCACCGAAAACAAATTCCTTGTGTATCCAACCACACTTGACCAATAAAGAATTCTATTCTATAAATCGTAGGATACAACCAACAAAGTGGTAGTCATAAGATACCAGTAGGAGTAGGTAATAGGAAAGATAAGAAAGATAATAATACAGCCCTACTACATGGGTAAATATCCTTAGAGATAAGATAGTGCTGTGGGAATTTGGTGTTTAACAGAGTGATGGCATGGGGGAAAACTGTCTTTATGTCTAGCTATTTTGGCATGCAATGCCCTATAGTGGTGTCCTGAGGAGAAGAGTTAGAGCAGTTTATGTCCAGAATGTGAGGGGTCTGTAGATATCTTCTCAGATTCAATAATTCCTCTGTAGAACTGTATCAGCCACTCCTATATAATGTTATTGTCATTGTTATTTCAATTATCCTGACAACTAAGAGCCAGAAGATCAACAAGTTCTTTTTCCTCTCTTGCTGAGAAGTTCTCTTTTTCAGAAAGCTGAAGAAAAATAGAGAGGTTCTACTATCCTGGAACTAGTCTTCGCTAATAGGGAAGAATTGGTTGAAGAATTAAAGGTGTCTAGAATCTTGGGGGAAAGCAAATATGCTATCTTAAATTTGTTTTGCCAGAAGAGGAACAAAACAGTGGGACTTTTTTGTTTTTCTAAACCGATTGTTGATGAATTCTGAGGTAAGATAAGACTAATTCTAATGACTAGCAATTGAAAGGAGAAAAGTGTCCAGAAGAATGGGAAATCTGATGAAATAAAACAGTAAAACAAAAATGGCAAACAAGTTCTACAAGAAGGGAAAAAAACCAGAGAAATCTAAAGAGAAATGCCAAAGATACATGTAGAACTCTACAAAATGCTGTAAGGAAAAAGGGATAGGTATAGGAAATGGATGGAGGAACAAATAATGGAAGAAGAATACAAGATGGCCTCCACCCATAAAATAAGAATAAAAAGAATCTAGTTTAGAAGGAGTTGAGTCTTGTGACAAATACCACAAACAAGAAACAGGAAATCTAAGAGGATTTAGGAGCATTGTAAGGAGAAAATGTGAGTATTAAAGGAGAAAATATGAGTTGTTAGTGAAAAGGCAGAATATCTTAATTCATATTTTACAATTTAATTCATATTTTACGTAAGTCGCTTTATAGGAGAGAAATGGGAGTCCTAGTTGGTCACTGTTATGCTACTGGGGAATGAGGAAACCACAGAATAGACAGAATAAGAAAACTTATTTAAAGGTATTCAAGATTCTGAGGCCAAATAGATTCCATCCTAGGGTATTAAAAGAATTAACAGAGATCATCATATAAATAATTTAGTACTCTTTACAAATAATTTTCCAAGGACAGCAAGAACTGAGAAGGCTGGAAGGGAGCAAACGTTTCCCTCGTTTTCAAAAAAAAGAAAGGAGGAAGATCTAAGAAACTACCAACCAATCAATGTGATGTCTATAAAATGTTTGTGAGTACTTGTATAGACATTTACAATTAACAGTAGCAATATGGATTTGCCACAAACAATCCTGCCAGATTATTTTTTTCCCTTTTTGTATTTTCTTTCTTTGACAGAGCTCTTCGCTTAGTAGATCAGGGGAACGCTGCAGATGTCATGTACTTCGCCCTCAGCAAAATCATTAACAAAATGCCTTCTGTTATTCTTAATAAGATATAATGGCAAAGCTAGCTGGTACTATTATATATAAGACGGACTCAGAATTGACCACATCCTTAGAGGGCAACAGTAAATGAAAAAAAAAAAAAAAAAACCTAAAAGGGAAAGAGGTTATTAAGTACATCTGGAAAAGTATTTCTTGTAATTTTGATTGAAAAATTATGAGAGATATTGATGTGCAAAATAAGAGAAATGCAGTGTGGCTTTGTGATAGGAAGGAGGGTGTGCAGACCAAGCTTGTGTTAACAGGTCATTGTGAAATGTATGAATTTGAGAAAATTTGTGATAAGTTGTTAATTCAGACACACTATGTAATAAACTGAAGAGGCCTGAATTATGGAATACTTTCGTGACTACAGGATGAAAGCCTGTCTGTCTGTATGATGAAAGTACATCATTACTAAGAATAAATCAAATGCTTAACTAATGGTTCAACACTAAGAGGGAATATGGCAAGGCAATGAACAGAGAATGGTCATGGTGGAAGCACAGGCAGTTTATAGAGAAAAATATAGAGCTGGATGCTGAATGTTGAATGTTGCTGATGTAAGCTAGATTTACCTACTTTTCCTCTTTTTTTTTCCTTATCAGTCTTTAATTTCTCTGACCTATTTCTTACCTTCTTTTTGTGCTTGCATAATATTGCTTTACTCTGAAAGGGAATACCATGATAGACATGTATATATGTTTGAAAAACCAACCTACTTATTAAGATTGAAATGAGTCATACTTCTTATATCCTAAGCAATTCTGAACTATACCTTGCCCTAGAAACATTATCATTGACACTTGGATTGCACGTATTGAAACAGATATATTCCCTTGGTTCTATAATTGTATGTTTATAACCACAGGAGACATATAATCCACTCTCGAATCAGATCATGCTGGAAGAAAAATTTATAAAAGGACCTATTGTTCCATTCTGCAAAGCTGGGTTATCAAGGAAATGGAGCAGTTAAATATCAACGAGGGCAGCAAGAAGTTCAGGAAAAATTCACTGAAGAGAAGAAATATTGATTTTATAGAAGTTAAAAAAATCATTATGGGTGAGTTTCTGGCTCCCTCCCTTGATGAAACAGCAGTTGCCAAAACATTTTTTAATGGAAGGAATATAAAAAATCATGCTTCAAGCATATAATCTGTTCATTGCAGCCCTTACAATATGTAATAATATGATGGCCAAATACAGTTGTAT